TATCTTTTTCTTTAATAACTTTGCTTAGTCTCTTTGTTAATATCTTTGTTACACATTTTCTAAATACTTCAATTAATGCGATTGGTCTAACTCTATCTAGATTAAATTCCCAATTCTGCTCTTTTAGTATGGGGTAGATTTGTGTAATTTTCTATTTAACTGAAATATTGCTAACTCATAGACATAGTTCTGCAAAGTTTTTAAAGACTTGTTGAGATCTTGTATCTGCTTGTTTCAATAAAGAATATGAAATTGTTGATATTCCTGAAGCTATATTAGCTTTACTTTCTCTTAATATTGCTTGCCACTCCTCTAATGTGATTGGTTGCATTACCAGATCAAACCAGGAATCTTGAATTCTTTCTTTGGGTTGGTACTCATCAGACCAAAGTTTTTTGGTCTCTGTATGGCTATTTTTTTTGCTTATAAATTGCTCTTGGAAATAGGCTTGCACTTCTTTCAAGACTTCTACAAGATCATTTAATAATGTTTCTTGATCTTGATTTTGTAATAATACTCTATCCAAAACTACTTTGTGAAATGGCCGTTCCAGAAGGCTAGTTAGTATTTCTTTTAATCTTTTATAATTTGTTCTGCTTTTCTTTGAATATATGCTTGTATTTTGTTTTTCTTCTTCTACTCACTACTTGCTATTAACTTGCCTTTAATTGCTTTTTACCATATAAGTGTATCTGCCTGCTATATACTATTTTCTAATAGTTCGATATCTTTGATATTGCTATCTGCTAATGAGTTTATTTGCTTGATTCTTCTATTCCAATCTCAGTTTTTTCTTGTAACTCAATACTGTTTACTACTCTAGTCTCTTTAGTTAACTTGCCTAGCAGATATGCTACCTTTATAAATCTGCTTTCTTTGGCTTTTCTATTTACTCTTCTTCCAAAATCTACTATCTTGTTTGGTAGATTGTGTTGACCTGCTAGTAAAATTGCGCTTTCTAAGGACTTCCATAATTCATCAAGATCTGCTTCTAATTTTTCTAATGTTGAAGAGTTTGAAAGTAATGTTTTTTATTTAAAAACTTTTAGTCATTTGATATTTAGCCTACCCCAAAGACTTGTTCGATAATTGTTCTAATTTTCTTCTATAGCTAAATCAAGCTTCCACACTCTTTGCTTCATACTTGGTATATTTTTGGTTAAGTGGTTACTTAAATGGGTTGGCAGATACCATTTAATTTTTGTAAACACTAAGTTATAATTACTCCCTGTGATTCCTAATATGCACTCAATATTAGCTTTTTGTGTTATTTTGACTATATCTCAGAATACCTATATTTGATTTATTCTTGTTGCCACTATATTATTGCTCTATATAAACTTCTTTTTGTGGGGATTGAGCAATCTGTATATATTTACAAAATTGTATTTCTTAAGCTATCTAGTTTTCTATAGCTTTCCACTTGCGATGACTTGTCTAATACTGAATCTACTATATGATTAAAGTCTCCCATTACAATTGTAAGATTTCTATTTTGTATTTTACTTATTTTGTCTCGAACTAACATATCTATCTTTTTTATCATTTCTGTATTATTTGGGGGGATATAAACCAGAATTATTACTAACTTGTAGATCTTAAAATAAAAGTGTACTATTAATACATATTT